TTATCCCTGAATTTCCAGAACTAAAGTTAATTTTCTTGGATTTACTCCATTGTCCTTTGGCAAAGCACTGATTGGTATTTAAGAAAATGATAAAGGTATTCACTTGTCCTTCATACTTAGTTGTTTACTTTAGTTATTTACTCTGTCTTATTTCCATTGTGAAAATTTCTTCCAAATTCTACCTACCGACCACACCAGAAACCCTTCTGAAGCTATTATATGCCTGACTCTTTTACTGAATAGATGAAGAACTAATTGTGGTTTACCCCAATATGTTTTAGGGAGGAAGGACACATAAGAAAGTTGTTTGGGGCATTCTGGAGACATCCGGAAGCAAAGTATGGTGACACAGAAACAATGACATGTGCATGAAAAGAAGAGCTCTACTATTTTATTCTTGCATTATGATGTCACATACAAATACATAAACAATAGTTTGCATTGTGATACACATGTCATTGTTTGACCCCTCCTCCTATGGATGCCTAAGCCTTTGAATGGGTAAGTAGGTACTTTAGAGGCTTGAGTAGATGAGTATGGAATGAAGAAAAATTGGGATGTTAACAAGCAGAACTTTTCACTCAAGGATACCAACTTACAAAAACACAGAACAAATACTGATTTATGAAATCAAACTATGCCAGTAGCAAGCATTACTTGACATTGGGATCATACTATTTAATATTTGCTAAATTAAAGTAATTGTAAATTCAACACACACACATATATATATTAAGTTAAATATAATAATTCTATACTACATCCAATCTTGTGGTGTTTTATGGAAACATTAAAACACAACCTATTCAGTTATATTAAACAATTTATTTGAAATTGTCTCTTAATTTGTTAGTTCAATATACAGTAGGCAGATATATAGTTAACAGGTATTCCAGGGAGAAGGATTTTTTTAAAAAATAAAATCTGATGAATAAAATTCATATTAGAACTGACAAGATTCTTCATCCAATTATCTTCTTCCCCCCAAGATTTATATCCTATCTTTCACTAAGGAGCTCAAGGCAGCATACATAGTATGAAATGAGTTAGTGTGGGTTAAAAAGAGTTCAGTGATTTGCCTTTAAAGTTTCACAGCCTGTGATGTAAACTCTTCAATCTGTGTATTCACAGTACTAAGTTCTCATGAACTTTGGCCACTTCATTTAGAAATTCTTAGATGAGACCATCAGAAACAGGTGTAAATAATAGTACTTCACTGTCTATATAGGGATGCAATTTCAGTGGATATTTAATGAAGAGAGTGTTGCACCCTTTTTACTCTTCCACTTTCTCAGACTCTTAAACATTCCATCTCAGCTTCTGACATTGGTAGGGATGGGATATACCAGTGGTGGTGAACCTATGGCACGGGTGCCAGAGGCAGCACTCAAAGCCCTCTCTGTGGGCATGCACGCCGTCGCCCCAGTCCTAGACCTTCAGCTGGGTTTTATAAAACCTTTTCACTTTAGGCCTCCACCGCCGTGTACAAAAAAAAAAGGTTCAATTGATCAGTCAATTTCAAATTCTCGCGGAAAAAAAAAGATCTTGCAAAGTTGGAATTGATTGAACTTTTTAGTCCCACCCAGTCTGCTGTTACCACCGCAGCCATGCCCACCCAATGGGTCACACCCAGCCAATGGGCCACACCCACCCGGCACCCGATGATGCATAAGTGGGTTTTGGGTTGCAGTTTGGGCACTCGGTCTCTAAAAGGTTCGCCATCACTGGGATATACCCAGCTACTGTTGGCTGCTTTGCGCTGCTGTGGGTATTTTTCCATTTGATTACCTACTGAAAGTGGGACGTAAAATGTGGATTAGGTGATGTCAGGAAACTTATGACTTTTCAAAGTCATATTAATTCTTCTTTTCCAAATCTCCCTCAGGGTGTGCCAACAGGTGTAGCAGATATTGTGGACATGATAGTGGCACTGGCTGAAGTGCTTCCAATCCATGTGTAAACTGCTGATATGGGTCTCAACATACCACAAAAGGGGTGGCTTAGGCAGAAGTAAAATAATTCTCCTGCTCCTGTCAGTGTCCCACTCCTGAAGCAGGTTGGCAAGTTGCACAGGAAATCAAGGAGAAAAGAGGTTGATTGAAATGCAGCATATTGGCACGTCCTATTGAATGCCAGGCTGATAAACTTAGGAAAGTCCTCAACTAGTGCTGCTTCCCTATGGTTTTTCCACACAGCTGCTGATATGTCATCCAGGGGAGATCCTATGTATGATATTTTTATCAGCAGGTCAACAGTGTTGGCACTGATTGAATCTTTCTACTTTGTCCAATGCTACTACTCTATGCACGATCTGGCAGTATACTGCACTGGGGATCTCGAGGGAGGAAAATGAGAGTATTGTAGGTGGATAGGGCTTTTCCAATATAGAGGAAGAGAGAGTATTTCCTGCTTTATCGGGGCCTCCTCCAAGTGCTTGATCCATGAGAGTGAAGCCCCACATAGCTATAAGACTAAGAAAGTAAGAATGACATGCATTTTAAGAAAGCAACTTTAATAGTGCTTGTACCTTGAAAACTGTAAGGAGAATTTATTGTCATATTTACAGTGAGTTAACTAAGGCAGAGTCTCTTTGAAACTTTTTTTTCATATCTTCAGCAGTTGCCTCTTCCAAGATAAATATTAAAACACCTGGTTCTTCACTCTTCCACAGTCTCTCTCAGGAACTGTTTGACAGAGCTGCACCCTCCATTATGTTACTGCCATAGATCAGTGCTGTAGTTGATCTTTGGGGTGGATAAGACCTTCCTAGCAAAGCAGAAGCAGAAAAGATTTGACCATCCAGCATCCCTGCTCTCATCTTTGGTAAAACTCATATCCTCTCCTGGCCACCCTATGTTAAGGAGGGGGATTGGTGGATGCTTTTCTCTCTGGCAGGAAAATCCAATTACTTGTTCCAAAGTAAATCTACCCTAACTTGCTAGGACCATGCTACATACCAGTCTTATTAATGAGGCAAAGTAAAGACCGGCTATGTTGATGGAGGAAATTCTTGTCAGCATACTTGATTCTCCTTCATGTAGTGGAAGACAGCAATGTTAAACGACTGAGTGTATGCTATGCAATGACAAGAGCATATGGAATAGATATGGCATGAGTATTCCTACTGTTACTATTTCTCAGAAACTGTAGCATGGAAAAGCTGGGGATGCTTTGTATGTATGGTGATTAGTGTTAATGGAAAGACAAGGGTGTGCTATTTGTATTAATGTAGATTCTTTTCCCCCCAGTTTTGTCTCGTCTCAAATTAATGATATGAAGAAATCAGGAAAAAGATATATAGATAAACTGTTGTGCTAGACTTGGAATAACTTCAATATTACTTCTTTGAACAAGGATGCTTAAAAACTTTCTCATTTGTTGAGCATGAACAGATCTTTGTTTGCATTATAGGGAGCCCATAAACATATAATTGAACTGAAATGAGTAATTTAGAGTAATCTAGAGTAATGTCATTTTTATCCAAGGAATAGATTTCTATGAGTATAATTTTTAAAAGGAGCACATATCAATATGAGATAAAGGTTTTTTTATTACACTAGGACTGAAGATCTAGGTCTAAATGTACTCTTTACAAAATTTTGCTTTTGGCCAATCTGTCACTTTTTCACCCCATATAAACTATACAGCAAGACATAGAAGGTAAAAAAGAAAAAGGGGGAAAATCCAGAATGATACTTTATCTAGCTTTAAATAAGAACAAATTACTCTATGTGAATTACATCTAAGTTTTTACCAAGATTGGTCTTCAGATGTTTTAATACCATTGGTAACACAAAGTTGGATAAATAAAATGGTGAAAGCTTCTTTGAGAAGGGTGATGCTGCTGCAGTCTTGAAATAGTTAATATGTCCCATCCTCAAAAAGCATTTACTTGACCTAGCTGTTCTGCATAATCATTGTTCTATCTCCAACCTTTCTTTATAGGCAAGATTGTAGATAAGATTACCCCAGCAATTAAAAAGCATTCTGGGTGAAGCAAATGATCTGGATCCCTGGATCTAGTCAGGGTTCAGGCTTGAGAATGGGCTGGAAAGTTTCTTGATCATTCTTATGGATGACCTATGGCAGGACTCATGTGGTGAACCCACCTCTAAAAACCTGGAGATTTCTTAATAGTATTTAATGTCTTTGACCTTTTGGACCATCTGCAAGGATCGGGTGTCATGGCCACTATTCTACAGCAGCTTTACTGTTTCTGGAGTGATTCTATTCTGCATTGGTGCAGAAAGGGAAGCTGAGCCCTTAATTGGCCTTTTCTATATCAAAAAGTTCACATGAAGAGATCATCAATCAGTTTAGGGCAAATTCTTATTTCTTATATTGATGAAAGCCAGTAATATACAAATCCATCTCAGGCTGACTAGGTGATGTGGTGGAAATCTTGATCTAGTATCTGCAGAGAGTCTGGACAGTCTAAACAAACTCAGATTGAATTCCAGCAAAATGGAATTACTTTTGGCACAAAAACTGTTAAATAATAATATAATAATATATTAATTGGATTGAAAGAGCATCTATAAATTATTCTGGGAAAAACAGGTTCATGATTCTGCTTGGAGGAGGTCTAAAGAAGTGGAAATTGTTTGAAATTATTTCTCCTGCCTATCCCAGCAATATTTCTGATGTGATGTATAGTAAGTTCCATGGGAAACACACTTTGATGTACACCTCTTTGCAAAGTTCATGTCTTCACGTCTGTCACGAACTTCTTCTGTGACTCACCCAGGGAAAAACAAAAGTTGGTATGCACAAGTTTGAGAGGGATTTGGGCCGTAATGAAAGGGCACTGCAGGAGAATGTGCAGTTGTTTTTTCATCCTGCCATCACCAGGTTTCCTCACCATAGGTCCAACTGCGGGAGATGTCTATGGTGAAAATATTTCCCAGAAAACATGTTTCTTCACTCCCTGACTTTGCTTTCTTGTCTCTCAAGTTGTGGTGGTGATCTAATAGCATTTTTCTTTCTGCATATTTTGGCAGCGCCCCACCTCCTGGCAGACCAAATTGTCTGAGGAAAGTGAAATGCCTGTATATTGTTAACCCTAGACAGCGAGAAGCATGCCGATTGCAGAAATAGACTCCTAAATACTCGATTGCTGTTTGCCTTCTTGGGGTTCTCCCGACCACGGGAAATGAGGCTGGAAAAAAAGATGGAAAACCAGAGAGGGAGAGGAACGATCTGGCTTGCACGTTTCCAATGGCATTACGTGAACAAACAGAGAATCCGTCTGCCAGAATGGGCTTGTGTAACTTTGCAAGTGTGCCAGAAACTTTGAAATCCCTCATCTCCTCCCCCTTTCCGCCCTTCCTCCAATTCTCTCCTTCTCTCCCACTGCTTCATTCCAGACTTCAGCGAAAGCGAGGACGAGGCGAAGGCTGCTGCTCCTCCCCAAACCCATCTCACTGCAAAAGAAAGCGCTGGGAGGAAAAGAAAGAGAACGAGGTGGGACTCCCTATCTTTGGGCTGAGCGCAAAATAAGTCGGAGGTCAGTAGCTAGGAAAAGAAAAGAGGAAAGCTGCCAACTGCTACTTTTGACCTCAACAGAATAACAAGGTTGGGAGGGACCTTGGAGTGCGCTCCCCTTCCCCAGTCCTGCAGCGTCGTCGAGTGGAGTTCCCGCTCGCTTGTGAGAGACCCACGCCGTCGCCATGCGCCTCAATTCCCGGACTCCGCTTTTCCTGGGCCTTGCCCAGCTGCAAGCGTGTTTCTATTGGAGTTGCCTGCTGTGGCTGCCGGCGGACGGGATGCCCCCGAGGAATCCACCGCCACCCCCTCCCGCCGTGTGGAGACAGCGGATTCAATGGGAGAACAACGGGCAGGTGTACAGCCTCCTCAGCGTCGGCTCCCAGTATCAACCCGCGCGGCCTAAGCTGAGCCAGGAGCCCGCGCAAGGCGGCCACGTTTTGCTCCTCAGGGGCAACGGCACTTCTCCTCGCAGGGCGCCGGCAACTGCCGCAGGCGGAGACGCACCCGCCACCCGAAAACCGGAGGCGCAGTACTGGTTCCAAGCCGGTTACCAGCAACCGTCCATCAGAAATATCACGGACGGGCGCCGCAGGGCCGAAGGTGGCGCCAGCTCCCGAGGCCGAGCGCAAGGGAGCCCCGTGGAGAGCGCCCCCGCCAGGACGGGCAATGAGACTGGCTTTTCTCTAAGCAATCTCCGGCAGCCGCCTCGCGGAGATGTCATGGTGGGGGACGACCCGTACAACCCACAGAAGTACACGGACGACAACCCTTATTATAACTACTATGATACCTATGAACGGCCCCCTCAGAGAGGCCGCTACCGGCCGGGGTACGGCACCGGCTATTTTCAATACGGTAAGGGCGCGCATTTCAACCAGTTGCACCAGGCGGTGAGGCAGGTTTGCCTTGGCTTTGCGGTCGCCCGCAGCTTTAAAAGGAACGAGGTCAAGAGTTGCACGTCGGTTCTGAGAAAGTTATTTAATATCTGCATGCAGATACTAATTAGCCGTTTGAGTCTGTAACGGTGTCCCTCCAAAAAGCGAGCTCCCAACCCCACCCCCAGATCCAACCCAGCCGCGTGGCAAGTCCCTCCCTTCTCGGCAGTCTGCGGGATTTCACCTCGGCCAGCCCCACATCCGCTGATCACCATCTGGTCCCAAGTCTCCCCCTCGCCCAGTAGTCGGTGGGGATCCTGCGCTAGAAAATAAGATGTTGAAATTAAGTAATGCAAAACACCCCGATGAAGAGAGAGGCAGAGAACCCTCCTTTTTCTGGAGCTGCAACAATTCTGAGATGGAATTTTCAACAGGGGAAAAAAGTTTAATTATTAGCAGTGGTTCATTTTCTTAGCTGAATTCCAGTCCTTTTTGCATATGAATTCATTAGAACTAGCTTGCCCTTGACTTTAGATGTGACTATTCCATGGCAAAAAGAAAGCTTTATAGGTATGGTAGTCAATGTTATTATTTCAAGTACTTCTATCCGAAGGGTACCCAACTAAACTTGAAAAGTAGTAATGTAAGTCTAGATAACACTCACATTCAAGATAGGCAGTTTTGGCATCATTTTGAGGTTCATCTTTGGTTGTAATTTAGTTAATGTAGCCTACTTAACAGATGTTCATGGCCTTTTGTTTGAGAATATCTATTGTTGCCTAAGACAACAAGCATAATTTATTGTTCTAGCCAAATTTCTGGTATCTGACAAACTTATTGTTTTCATCAGCTGGTGGCCTTATGAGGAAAATGCCTTTAAGATACATAAGAAAAATATTTTACAGGATCATATGTGATATAATAGTTTCAGTCTGGAAGACACATTGTATTTTAATGTTTCATTTGATCTTCTGAAAAGTGATTTTTGGTCTTATTAAATGACCATGTGTATAAGTTCCCAATTTGTCATACCATGACTAGAAATTGCAACTTTGCTGCCTTTTTCAGGAGTGAAATTTGTAGAAATTGTCTGGGCCTGATCTATTTTGTGTATATTTGTGTGTGATTTAATGCACTGCAGGGTTGCCAGATTTAGTGCCAGATCCTTATTACATCCAAGCAGCCACTTATGTCCAAAAGACGTCTATGTACAACCTGAGGTGTGCTGCTGAAGAGAATTGCCTAGCTAGGTAAGTACAGGGATGGCTTTGATTTCATATCCTCATAAAATACCAGTTGGTTAGAAAGTCTTTCCCAATCAGAAAAATCGACAGATCTGGGGGGGATACAACTCCCAGTATCCCAATCTTTTCCTATGTTGACTGGGAATTCTAATAATCCTTACATATTTGGAGAACACTAGATTGAAGAAGGCTAAACTACAAAATACAGGTTTATAAAAGAATTAACTTTCTGAGGCACATATTGTTTGAACATTATTGTTTTGTGTCCAGGATACATTACCAAAGATTTTGAATTGCACTGGTAACGTAACAAGAGGGAAATAGACATGGTTTCAGTAGAATTTAAGCAGTGGAGAAAATTCCTTTACTATTCCAATTCATAAAACATACTGTTTTTATTAATGTCTGCTGAAAGCTTGATGACCAAGCTACACAAGGTTTCCATGCCCCGATTGTTTAGGAATTATTTTCGTACTAGGATCTGTTTTTCATTAATCCAGAGCTTCATTAATTTTTGAAAAGAAGGGTTTTATTGAGTACATTGCTTTGTATGCAACAGAACAAAGTGGTTTTTAAATTGCTGTTTGATTATTGTAATTTCCAGTGTATTTATCAGCTATCTCCCTACTCTAATCTATTTTTTAACTCATTGCTTTTCAGCATCTAGATTAATTGATAATCAGATACCAAATCACAATCAGTGCAATTCATTTCATAATGAAGCTGTAATCGAATGCATACATGTGGAAGTAAGTTACATTAAATGCAGTGGGGCTTTCATAAACATGCATTAGGATAAAGCTATAAGATGATAATACATCTTAGAAGAAGTCCTTCAGAACAAAGCACCTCTCACAAGTGAAGATAATATATATGTGTCCCAGGATAATGTTACAGGATCCAATCTAAGTCGGTCACCAGGACCAAAGGTTTATTCTTCCAAGCTGACAAGGGTTTCCCTATTGATTTCCCAGGCTTCGATCGTTTCACTGGCTAGTTTTGTCCCTGCTCGCCCAATATTCACAGTATGTATGAAATTAAATGCATGTCCTTGTTCATTGTAATGTGAGGCTACCAATAAGTTCAGGTCTTATTTGTAGTTGCAATGAACAAGGACATTCATTTAATTCACAGCTACTATGATAGTTGTGTGAACAGGGACAAAAGATAGCCAGAGAAATGATTGAAGCCTGGGAAACGGGCCCCTTGTCAGTCAGTAGGAATGCTGATCTACCACCGGTCTATCAAGAACATAGGAGCTGAGGGCGCAGTGGCACAAGGAAATAACAATAACTTAATAGCCAGCGATCAACACCTCAATTAAAAACTAAAAGCTACACACAATCAGGAACCATATAAATACAATACCTAGAACAACCCAGTGCACATATTCTGGAGAGAGAAAGAAGTACCCTCATCTAGCATGAGCCCAAAAGCTTGGAAGAATAAACCTTTGGCCCTGGTGGCCAACTTAGATTGGATCTTGCAAAGCACCTCTCTCGGAAGCATGACGTAGTTGTGCCCACTACAAGGTTTATGCTGCAAGTTTGAAAGCTGTGTCCAGTTGTTTGCATATTAATGTGCCTGGAAATGCAACTGCTAGCAAAAATAATGTGCCTGTAGAGAGCTACAATTCCTAGGCACACAAGTGAAAAAAAAAAAAAAACCAAAGAGAGTTTCCAAAGCAGACAACAAGGTTTGAAAGGATGTTGTTGCTTAAACACTAAAAAGCTTTCATTTGTGAAGCACCGCTTTTGGATCCTTTGCACAGACTTAATATGAGAGAGAAAGAGAAAGAGAGATTTGAAATTAGGCCCAATTGAACTGGAGGAGACTTGCTTCCAATAAAGATGTTGCAAGCTAATTTATGAACAGAGCTATGTCTGACAACCTACACATGATTGGTTCATGTTTGACCATAGCAATTGTAAAAAAGTGTCCATTAACATTTAAAGTTATATGAATGAAGGCGAATATATGTGTCCCAGGATAATGTTGCAGGATCCAATCTGGTTCGGCCACCGGGTCCAGAGGTTTAGTCTTCCGAGCTTTGGGACTCGTGCTGGGGCCCATCCTCGGGGAACTGGAGAGAACTTCTAGAGAGACATTCCCCGTGGATGGGCTCCAGCACAAGTCTGAAAGCTCGGAAGACACAACCTCTGGTCCCGCTGACCAACCCAGAATGGATCCTGCAACGTTTAGAGCAGTGTTTCTCAACCTTGACAATTTTAAGGCATGTGGACTTCAACTCCCAGAAGTTGAAGTCCATATGCCTTAAAATTGTCAAGGTTGAGAAACACTGGTTTAGAGTTATGTTTCAAATTGATTTTTAAACTCAAACCAATTCATTGCAGTGTTAGTGTAGATTTGATTAATATTATACCTGAGGCAAGTACTTCTTCTTAAATATAGCTGTAAATCTACAGAATTAAGGGAAATGGAATGAAATTGCAGATGAAACTAGGAATATCACACAATTCCAGCTATTTTTTTTTCTGTTGAGTTTTTTTTTTTAATAAGAAAAATTATTGACAAGACAAATGAATTTTGCAGAAATTGATGGGGAAGAAAGAACTAAAGAACCAAGGGGCGTCAACAACAGAAAGAATAGATAGAAACAAATCGGTGGAAACATTGGACTGGGTGGGTCAATAACAGAATAACAGAGTTGGAAGGGACCTTGAAAGTTTTTCAGACCAAGCCCCTGCCCAAGCAGGAAATCCTATACCATTTCAGACAAATGGTTACCCAATCTCTTCTTAAAAACCTCCTGTGTTGGAACACTCACAACTTCTAGAGGGAAGTTGTTCCACTGATTAATTGTTCTAACTGTCAGGAAATTTCTCCTTGATTCTTAATTCCATGATTTCGGAAAGAAACAGAAAACCTGAGTTGCTCAGCAACCTTAATCAAAAGAAGAACATTAATAAGAAAAAGTGTTCAAAAGAGTCCACAAGTAGAGTGTGGCTGTATTTTATATAGAATTAAATAAAATTATTAAATAAAAATGGAAATATCTTTGAAGTTATGAATACTGATACAGAAGAATTTGTTATACTGCTGAGAGTAGTTCCACGTTTCCTGTAAATGAAAGCCTGATTCAACTAAAAAATATCCATGTCTTTGTTATCTAGAAAGAATGAGAAACATCAATTACATTGCATAGTCTTTTTCTAATAGACATTAGATAGTATTTAGACATTCCATAAAAATAGTTTAGCAGCTTTAGAATCTTAAAAACAGTGGATTTTCAGTGGGTTGAAAGTTCACTTGTTAGTCATGTTTAAGGTGGACCATTGAAACTAATGGGATTTATGTTAGTCCTGGTCAACTTGACTGTCCATTGTTTTCACTGATGAAAGCTGCATTAAACTTGATTAATTCCAGGAGGATGTATTCAATTGCACAAAAGTATAAATGTGACATTTTAAACTAAGACCTACTTGTTAAAATGTTTTACTCTTTTCATATGCATATTCTTGCAGCTCAGCTTATAGATCAGATGTTAGAGACTATGATAACCGAGTACTTCTGAGATTTCCACAGAGAGTGAAAAATCAAGGTACATCTGATTTCTTACCAAGCCGACCACGATACTCATGGGAATGGCACAGCTGTCATCAGTGAGTGAAGTGTTTAGTACGGTACTTTTAAATTATGTTTATTTGTTTTTATCCGTTCCACTCTTGGCTGCTGCTGTGTGAAAAACATCAAAGGATAATTTGGAGCAAGCATGACCCTGTGTATCATACTTGTTCACCCTCCTTATGTCTTTTCTTGGGTTGCACTGTAAATTTAGAAAAAGTTGCACCTTCTTTAAGGAATTATCAATAGATTAGAATGATAGTGTACCCATCTTCTCTGAATAACAATTTTCCTTTGATTTATAACTCAATTATGGTGTATTTTAGATAGCAAAATGAAGTGCTTAGTTTAATATATAAAAATGGTGCATAATTTGGGTGTAAACACAATACTAGAATATCAAAAATAAGGACCACCAATCACTTTAATGTTTGCATAAACTTTAATAACCAATCAAATTTAATTGAAAAGAAAGGTTGAATTATATTTAAATATCGCAATGAAGGCATTATTGGTAAAGGTATCTAATGTGGAGTCCTTCTGTGTAAACTTGAATTATCCACATGTAAAAATACTGTAGAGATAACAGTTAACTTCCTTTTTTTATGAAAACACTAGGAAAAATCAGAATATAGCTTTTGGTCCTTACCAGCTAGTTGGCAATCTTTATGACTTTAGATCATAAAAGTGATATTCATTTTGTAGTGTATGCGATTTTATTTTCTATTCAATATCTCAGGGTTCCTCAACCTGATGCTTTTTAGATACACCAGAACTAGAAAGAATTCCTAGCCAGAGTAAGAAGAATATATGTGGCCTGGGATTTCTAGTATTTGCAATTACAAAATGCCTAGGAGATACCTGATTACGGGACCCTGACCATCAAATCTGGGCTGCAAAAAATCCAGGTGACAATTAGAGGCCAGTAAAAAGATATAGCTAACCAGATTTTTGTAACTTGATATAATGGCCATAAACAGCAATAGCACAATTAATGGAAAATGGTGGACCACTGGTCTATAAAATGACAATAGAACTGCAGTGTACAAAACAAAAAACAAACAAAAAACAATTTTTGTTTGTAGAACCAGAAGATAACCCAAGAGACCATAATTTTAATTTATTTTGCATACCGTATTTTTCTGTGTATAAGATGCTATTTTTTTCCTGCAAACACCCATTTCAAACATAAGGTGCATCTTATACAAGTGCAGCGTCTTATACACGGAAAAATAATGGTAACCTCCGCAGCCCAGGGCATGCCTGTGTAGATTGCTATGCTGCCTGGTACAGGTGTCAAGCCCCTATGGGCTTTCCACTAATGGGAGGGGGGAAGGGGCAAGATCATCGGCCAGCCAAACTTCCGGATTTGCCAGCTCAGCTGTTTGGCACTCTGCCAAACAGCTGATTGGCGCAGAGAAACTCGCATGCCAGAGCGTCTTATACAAGGGTGCGTCTTATAGATGGAAAAATACGGTATTTTACTATGTCCGTTAAAAAAAAGGAAACATTTCATAAAGAGAAGGATCTTGAATTTATGAGAGTAAAATAAATATTTTTAGTCGGATACATTGTTAAAACAAGACTAATAGTGGGTGATTCTGCTTTCTGTATTTAGCCCCTTAATTAATCTAATAGGAAATTTGGAAATAACATTTGTCTATTTGGATTTTAAACAAACAATATAAAACCACTTTCTTAAAAACTATATTTTATTATACTCATTGGAATGTATTATGTAGACAATAGTATCACTGGGCTTCAAAATATTTGCCTAATCGATCTAAATAATGCAATATTTAAAATTTGGGGAAATATTATTTTGGCTATAGCCTTGTTGGGCCAAATTATTATTAAGATATTGATTTCTGATACAATAGGTTAAAGTGATCTTGTTAATTTATTAACAGACATTATCATAGCATGGATGAATTCAGTCACTATGACTTACTTGAAGCAAGCTCACATAGGAGAGTAGCTGAAGGACACAAAGCAAGTTTTTGTCTTGAAGACACTTCTTGTGACTATGGATACTATAGGCGATTTGCATGTACAGCCCATACACAGGTAAGGTGTAGTTATTAATATTACTACTCTTTAAATAGAATTTAGATTAATATCAATCAATTTCTATTGACTATGAAACTTTGCATTACAAAGAAGTACATCATGAACAGTTTTATACCCTTTGATTTAGTTTTAAAATGCTTAATCTATCAAGAGAATAGTTAGGAATAGAATCAATGAAAGCTGATGTTTAAGTTCCTTTAGGAATGGTGAGCAACATCTTTCTAATCTATTGCCAGTAGACTGAATTAGTGTGAAATACAGATAGTCTTCACTTTATGATTAGTTGTTTTATGACTAAAATTATGGCAGCCATGATATTTGTGTGTGATGGGATGCAAATCATCCCTGGCTGTCATAAAATGGTTGCGCTGTTGCCCCCAGGGTCACATGACTATATGTTGGGTGGGTCAGCTTTATGATTGGTCACAGCATTCTGCAGTCACATGACTTGGATTCACAATGTTGTTTGCTAGTTTCTGACATTTGCTATGTTCAACAAAAAAAAAAAACCCTATTAACAACTGGCTACCAGCTACATTTACTTAAGGATTGCTGTATTTGCTGAGCAATCTCCACAAAAAAGGCTTGGAAAATTACTTCCAGTCATATGTGAACCCCAACTTATGACGGCAATGACTTACGACCATCATTCCAGGCTCAATTACAGTAATACAGTTAAGTCCAGGACTACTAGTATCCTTAACAGAATAGTACAAAGAATTCTATCTAATAATCAGAATAGAGCTGGAAGGGACCTTGGAGGTCTTCTAGTCCAGCCCCCTGCTCAAGTAGGAGTTCCTATATCATTTCTGACAAGTGGCTATCCAGTCTCTTCTTATCTATGAAGAGTTGCTCTGGGGATCTTAGTGTTAAGTTTTCTTAAAAATGGGCAACAGTTCTTGATAAACTTCCCTCAAAATAAAGAATGAATAAAAATCATAAGACTGCATAATTATGAACCTAATCTTGATTATCCTGTCGCCTTTTGGGATACAGCTCTACTTTAGTATATAGCAATAGTTTGTAAATGAATTGTTTACTCACTTGAAATATGTAATGCAAATAATCAAGATCATTATTAAAAATCATAATGATTTTTAAGTAAATTTCATTCCCAGGATGCTATTAATTTTCATTGATTATACCATCAGATTAAATTGAGTATAATCATGTTCAAATTTAGCAATTTGTCTTTCCTTAAACAATTTTCAATTTCAATTTAATATTGATATATAGTATTATATCAGTAATTATAGATCCTTTTCAAAGATTTATTGCATTTTAAAGCTTGATAGAGAATTACTTAGCTCAGTTTTTCTCAACCGTGGCAACTTTAAGACTTCAACTCCCAGAATACCCCATCCAGCGAATCAGAAATGATATGAAAGAAGGGCATTGGACTCTGAACAAGAGCAGTTTTCTTGGTTTTTATGATTTGTTTAAGCAGCTCAATTTTTTGAAACTTCCACATAAGCCTGAAAAAGAGACGTGGCTGTTGCTTTAATTTTAATGGGCAGATTTGCTAAGATTAACTTTGAGTTTGTAATAGTTTGCTCATTTCTCTTGGTGCATTGGTTTAAAGGAAATATCAACATTATCATCAGCTTTGGCTTGTATCTTTCTGCCCTTAGTGTTATGAATCATTTAGTTACAGTATATACTCAATACTCTAGCAGTGTTTCATGAACATTATTAAATATTAATTTAAATAATCAAATTGTAATATATAATGTACTACAAATAAGTAGCACAGGACCAGTTTGGTGTAGTGGTGAAGGCATCAGGCTAGGAACTAGGAGAACAGTGTTGTCTAATCCTGCCTTAGACACAAAGCCAGTCACAAACTGATCTTGGGCCAGTCACTTAATCTCAGCCGTCAGCCCTAGGAAGTTAGCAATGGGAAACCACTTCTAAAAACTTGCCAAGAAAATAGTAAGGGTCTGAATGGAAGAAACAGCAAAGATCATATTCTTATATCATCTACATCAAACTAGATATATATTTGCAAAAATCTAATAATTATGCTTCGACATTACCTAAATTTTAAAAGTAATAGCATTAATAGTGAACAGAGCATAGATAAAAGCTTGATTCAGATTTCTTGTATTAGAGTCCTGTTCAGGTGAAAATTACTAACATTCTCTCTTCTATTATTTTGACTTGCTATAAACATATCTTCCTGTTCCTACATACATTTTTCAGCAGCATTACTTCAGTTTTTCCATAGCTAATAGAACTGTATTACATCAATTTCAACACTGTCCTTGACTATATTCTGATTGACATGGCTTAAAGCATATTAAGGTCTGGATGCAACTGGCAATATTTAGTCTCTGCAGCATCTATCTTACAAATAAGTAACCAACTGTATCAAGCCTTATAGTATCATACTTTGAATTTTTTAAAGAATTTATCTTCATCTCATTTTAAAATGATTATTATAAAGATCTTCATTTTATGAAGCATTTTCCTCAGCAATTACTGAAAACTGCAGTCTGATTCCAAAACTAAAAATATATTCAGCTGCCAGCATTTAATATACCCATGACCTTCCTTTCCATAGCCAAGACTGTTCTTGCCAAATGACACATAGTCTGTGACTAAACATTATACTTTTACTAGAACCAGTCAAGATATCACTTAGAATAATTTCATAGTAGAGAAAGGGATAGATCTTGAATATTGGAAATTGTGAAGATTATATTTGTAGCTTAAATGGAGCTATCCTCTCAAGGTATTCAAGCATGGTAGCAGTTAGAGGACAGCAACATAAGAATTTGTTTTACTGGCTTATTCCAATGGATGTCACTGTTTGCTTTTAGACCAGCCTATGGGAAATATTAGACTTTAAATACTTCAAGAAGAAAAATCTGCCAGTATTTGAAGGCTTCAGTTATGGCAAAAATAGACCACTATCTTTACAGAAGAAAAGTTACTATTCTACAAGTAATATATGACTATTGTACTGTATTTTTAAATGGTTATTCTCTCAGTTTTTTTAAAAAATCAGCATTACATTTCTAGGGGCTGAGTCCTGGTTGTTACGATACCTACAACGCTGATATAGACTGCCAGTGGATTGATATTACAGATGTTAAACCTGGAAATTACATTTTAAAGGTAATCAAATTTCATTAATTAAAAAGCCCAAACATGTTTAGTATTATATGAAACCTGTAAAGTTTAGCATGTATTTCTTTTGTAGGTTAGCGTCAACCCAAGTTACTTGGTACCAGAATCAGACTATTCCAACAACATTGTACGTTGTGATATCCGCTATACAGGCCATCATGCATATGCCTCTGGGTGTACAATTTCCCCGTAAGTTCTTTCTCACTTCTCTCTAGTATTTTGCAGTAGTACTAGTAAAATGTAGCATGAAGATAGAAGTGCATTGTAATGATAGAAAGCATATCAAGTATTTTTTTAATGAAATTGTCAGACACAATGTGCAAATAAAGTTACGTGCTATACTTCTATAAGGGATTTATGAACTCTTTTTCCTTCCCATGCAATGGCTATTCTTTTAAGTAAAATTCTGCATTGATCTTAATACAAATTTTCACACAAGCCAGGAGCCTAATTATTTGAGCTAGCTATTGTTCAAATTATCCTTCCTTAACCAATTGCTTTATTACTTTTGAATTTACAGTAAAGTAAAATATTTTGTAAAACGAATTGTCATCTAATATGTGGAGGATGTCAAGGTTGAGAATACTAACTTTCTAGCCAAAGCCTCCCTCCCCTCCCTCCCCCCAAAAAGTTCAGGTATGATTGGGAATTACATTCATTTTAAAAGTAAAATATTGTCCTCAATAAAGTGGAAGTTGTTTTAGGAAGAGGCTTAAAAGCATCGCGTATTGGGGCTGTACATCAATGTGAATTAACTTATAAAGGAGATCTATGTGCTTTCAGGGATATGACTTGGATGAAACCAGGAAGCAGATACAGCCATTTTTAAAGGTTGCTATATTTGCAAGCTGTATTTGTGGAACTGAATCCTTACAAAGTAGGACTGTGCAGTACTTCAGATTCAGTTCCCAAAAGATTTTGCAGAGTACATGGGACTTGTCTGTAACTTTTTAAACTTTTTAATTTCTGCACAGTTGCTGTGCAGAAATACATGCAATCCTGGGAAAAGACATGGCTGTTTTAGAGATTTGCAGATAGGTGTTACATTCTGGGTTCCTACATGCTCTGGAGTACTATTATGATTTCACATATTTGGAACTGGGCCTGTGTCTGCCTGTATTTATACTTGTTTTGGTTTCATGTTAAATCCATTCCATTATAAAACTGAAATTGCTTAACTTTAATTTTTTCCATAAATCTGTCTAATCGAGTGGCCTAGAATGAACCTAGAATAATGCCAGATTTGATTGTTTGCCAAAGCATGATACTCAAATTAGATTGTTTATGAAATACTTCTGTAGAAATTCTGTTTTGAACGTTTAAAGGGATTGGTACTTCCCTACTGCTGCATGAATTTTACAAACAGCTGCTTTTATTCCTAGCACACACTGACAAATCCCTAATAGTAGCTTATCTATTTAAAATATAGATCATCATCACAATTATGACTTCCCCAACTCAAAATCATGTAAATATATCTTAAAGTAGAACACGTATGTAATTGTTAGGAAGTTTAGCATTTTCCATTTTCCAACATGCCTATATCTGAAGACTTTGTCATGCTTCTCTGTATAAATACTTAAGTAGCTACCTAAGCATGGCATTTGCACATCTCAGATTTAATATTAATCTTTCAGTAACTAAGATGATTTATAACAATGTAACTTTTGCCTTATTCTCTCTAGAGCCAATTTCCCTATTGCTTCCCTTTATTCTTTAATTTGCATTCAAGAATTCAGCATTTGGCATCTACCAGTATTGCCGCTACATGCTATTTATCAAATAACAAATTGAATTTCACTATCAGTTTGAAGTAATGGTTGGTTTACAGAATCAATGGAGGGACCATACGTTTTTGCTGCAGCCCAAGCTAATGAGTTCTATTAGCAGAACTGAGAATTTGACATTTTTGACATCTCAAAATTAAAGTTTAAACACTGGAAATTGCTGTCTGTGTTATCGGTCCCAGCAGAATGTACAGGTGGTCCCCAACTTACAACAGTTCACTCAATGACCATTCAAAGTTACAGTGGGACTGAACAAAATGACTTGTGACCATTTTTCACATTTACGACCATTGCAGCACCCCCATGGTCACGTGATCAAAATTCAAATGCTTGGCAACTGATACTCAGGACGGTTGCAGTGTCCCGGGGACATGTGATTGCCTTTTCTAACCTTCTGACAAGCAAAGTCAATGGGGAAGCCAGATTCACTTAACAATTGTGATACTAACTTAACAGCTACATTGATTCTCTTAGCAACTGTGGCAAGCATGGTTGTAAAATGGGGCAAAACTCACTTAATAACTATCTCACTTAGCAACAGAAGTTTGGGCTCAATTGTGGTCGTAGGTCGAGGATTACCTGTATATGCGTGCACAGACAAGAAAGGATAGCCTTTAAAGCAGCTCTGAAAGCCTCCTAAAAGATGCTACTACATTATTCCTTCCTGCTTTTAGGGTGTTTCATTCGTGCCAGTACAGATAGTGAACTATCTGTTCAGTGCTTCTGTCTGCAGTGTTCATGAAAACAGTTTAAACAAAAGACAATTACCTAATAAGAGTAGGCAAATTAGCTGAAATCCAATTCAGATTAATAATCCTGTTTGAATTTTTGAGTTGACTCGTCAGTTTAATTGGAACAATGTGTATATAATTGGAAATCATTTGAATTTTCAGACTGAATTGTCTTGATTAAAAAAATATTCTGATGACTCAATAAAATCTCATCCAAATTGAATTTCTAAATTGAAATTTACTACATTCACAATAGCTAAAAATAGTTATTGTATTTTAAAAATTGTTATTTGTAATTTTCTGTGCAGCATTCTGTTCCTAATAATAAACTTATCTTTTTTTCTGTAGATACTAAGATGAAAGAAAATTGGTTTACTGATACCCAAGGTTTGGAGATGCAATTATTTTATAAACTGAATAGGATGTAAACATTTTTGAAAAATGAGAAGGACCAGAATATACACAAAGAATCTTAATCTGACTCTGAAGTCTTAAGAACTTCTTAAAAATGAATTGATTGTTTGATTAAGCTATCCAGCTTTTGAAGCCAGTGAAACAATGGTACTCTATAGAAAGAATAATGAATTCTAAAGGAAGTTAACCTACTTATATAAATATCTTTCCCATTGACTACTGGACATCAGTATAATATTTGAGACTGCTTTTTTAGATATATAAAAGGTGCTAGCATCGGCAGGTACTCAAAGAGCTGCTTTCAGTTTCATTGGATGGTTCAGGCACATCTAATGGGAGTTCAAACATTTATATTTAAATAGCAATAGGCCCATTGCTTCATAGTATCATGAAAGTCTTCTAACATCTTTTTGCAATATTTTTTGTTACCAACAGTCAATGGTACTAGTATCCAAATCCTCTGGATTATAGAATAATTTCATAGTTCTTTGATATGCAGTCATGTAATATCGATTGTGAAGAGTATAGGAAGGAACTGTAGTTGTGGAACAAATTGGTAGGGAAAATGAAGCTTCCAAAAATACCAAAGCTTCATTTTTTTGTCTAATAGATACAAAAGTAGGCTTCATTTTAAAGGACAAATTTTAATGTTTAAGCACCCGATAGCATACAAAATGATTCTATTTTTAAAGCTTAAACCAAAAAGTATATCAATATTTTAAAACATTACTTAGAATATTAAAACACCACATTTGTCTATTTCCAGTGCTTCCTGCAGACTGCTTTGCATTTTCTCCCCTTCCTTTCCCTCAACTGGAAAGAGTTTCAATTACAAATGTTGGAAAGATTTTGAATTACAGATGTTTAGAAACCACTTCCCATGAATTGGACTTGGATAACAGATTGAAAATGATATATGCTCACCAGAAAAAAAGTTCATAAGCTTGATGCTTTATGTTGTGTTCCATTATAAAATCTAATTTCTAGCTACATGGAAAAAAAAACATTCAGGTGAAGTCATAAAATGAGCCTTACCCAGATTTGTCTCTGTTCCTCATGAATGTACAAGAAAATGTTATTTTAAAGTATTTGTTCAGGAAATCAAAATGAATTATTTTATACATATATGCAAGCACAGATGTGCTCATATAGATATACTCAAACCTGTAAGCACCTGCATCAGCCAGGTATTATACAGACTTGGAAATAAAGTTGCAGTTCAGATTTCTACTTGGGATATTATATAGACCAAACCAAATTTAAAGCACCGTTAATTGTACTAAGGAATAGTAAATCAACTTACTGGTAAAACAGGTTGACATTTCCCTCAAAATGGATATATAAATCCTCATTCACTGAATCATCTTGAGATAGAATTCTTAAATTGTGAAATACATGCTGTTATATGACATGTAACATTTGAAATAAAAAAAATTGTGGAAAGATTTTATAGTTAGAATCCCAAACATTTGGGTGCTTTTTAACTTTCATTGTCCAATTGTCTGTGGTGAGATTCCCTTCCATTCTAAAGCAAATTTCCCCAAATCTGCTCTGGAACACCTACGACACTGCATTGACAAAAAATAGCAATTTACCTTCATCCAATGAGCACTATAATTTGTTCCACCCATTTAGATTAAGCATTTATTCTATCATTCAAGCAATGTGCCCACAAGTATGTGTAGACAAAATCACAAGACTGGATCCTTCCTATCTACTTGTCAAGGCCTCATCTTTTTGATGGTTGTTGAATTGCCAGTCCTGATCATATTCTCAACCACACATTAACATATGTTGCACTATTATGTCAACCACTTGAATTGTTTATACATAAGCTCCTGTTTAAAAAAAAACAACACCCAGATTTTTGTAGCAAGGAACTGTAACTGGTATTGTGATACCAGTAACTACTAAGAGGACAATCCCTCAGGAAAGTTGTTGATCTTCTCTCAAGTAAGATAAGAAATAGTTGGCCTGACAATTGAGTAACTGCAATACAGGATCACAATGTAAAAGATGCATTTTTTCTTATGATAAAACCATATTTTCATATATAAAAGTAGCATATCTATTATTTATTATGTGAACAGAAGGTATGTATAGAATCCAGAGAAGGGCATGAACAGAAAAGGATACTATTTTGTGAAGGATGCTGTAATTTAAGAATTTTTGTTCACCTTAAATAATGAAGTAGAATTCCTAAATCATAAGGAATATTTCTTTCTTATCAACATGGCCACTCAACTGGAAGAAATGTTGAATATGGTAAAGATCACAGGAGAGTTCCACATAGTGAGGTTGACCCATCTATGTGACTTTTACTAAAAACAGAAACCTTGCTGTGCCAAATATTTAATGATGCACTACATTAAAAGATTTTTTTAATGACAAACTAATAATGGAAATTTCTATACATTCCTATCACTTCAAGCTGGATATAACTAAAGTACTATACTCATTTCGTTAAAAGTGGTCTATCCTGTGCTTTTCAACACAACAAAAATTTTCACATTCTACAAATTACAAAGGTGCTTATATTTAACTTGAACTGAAAAAAGTAAATATCTTATTTTCCCAAGAACCTTACTTTAAAATCTAAACATCTTTATATGAAGTAATTTATAATTAATCATACACTAACATTGTATTCTTCACAGAACTTCCATATTCTTATACTGTTTGCAAATTTATGTGAAAATGACAAATAAAAATGTTTCAAATGCTCAAAGTCTCCTCTAGTTTCAACCAAAATGTAGTCTAGATCTTTAATAAGTTAAATCTTTATGTCTATGATCTGGCATTCTTTTACGGAGAGACATTTCAAATCTCTAATAAAAATATAAATTTGAGACTTTGCACAAGATATGGTTGAGAAGGAATAGGAGCTCAGTGGTTTGGATGTGAAAACAGGTTTTGATCCATGTATTACTGGTGAATTTACATCTGCTGGATAAAAACTATCAGCTAGACAGGGTTCTGGATTGTACAGCAGACATTTTTTTAAACCAAATAGTGTTTGAATTTCTTTGAATGCAAGTAGCATTAAATGGTTGCATTTCATACCAACAGATCTCATTATAGCTCACAACACTAAGGTTAAAAACTCACTTGTTTGTCTCGCTACCTTACCAATGTTGCTGCCTCACATAAAATTATATAGTTTCTACATCTATCTATTTTGATTTTGTTACTTTATATGGATATACTGCATAGATGTGCATACATGAACATTTTATAGAGACTCTTCATCTACATCCTACTTAATCAAAAAAAAAACCCCGATTTCTGTTAATATAGACTAGGCATATTTTGGAATGGTTCCAAACTATTGTATAATATTATTACAATTACTCTTAGCCATTTTAATATTACATTCTAAGAAAAAGTATCTCCAGATTGAATTTAACACCTGGGGACTTCATGAATACAGCCATGTTATTTCCTTCGCAATGATATGAAAATGGTTACTTTCTTCTGCCAGGATATGTTTGATCGTGTAGTTTAGTTTACAGCCCTGAATATCTCAATTATTAACCAGGACCTATCCTACTTTGCTTTTCAAGATCAGCCATGATTGGCTAGCTGCTATCTGGGCTCCAAGCAGCATTTAAGACAAATCTTTCAACAGCTGACAAATGGGATTTGAGGGTTTTTACCCCTTTGGATGTATTAAAGGTAGATTGCTGCTTAAACCTACTAGTGCTGTTTTTGTCCCCAAAACTGCACTTTTTTCAGCAGCATGAGTTCTGAGGATTTACTGAATCCCATTGGCCCTTAAACCTAGGAGAGTCAGTTTGGTGTAGTGGTTATGATATTGAACCAGAAATGACAAAAACCTAGATTCATCACCAGTCATGGAAACTCATGCAATGATTTTTGGGCAGCAATCTTGCAATTTAATCTACTGCACAGAATTCTTATGGAGAATACAGAAGAAAGTCCAACAAACACCACTCTGAATTTCTGGATAAAAGTGGGATATAAATAAATAGGTTGCCAATTTCTGCAATGTAGAAATATAAGAAATCAAAAATCATACTGCTGGATAATTTCACCCAGATGTTTCATGTAGATATTACAGAATAGGGAGAATATATCGAGCTGTGAGGAACTCCACAAAGAAGAGGCTCTGGGATAAATTTCTCCTTTCTCATCAATACCAGTTGGAACCATTCTTAATCCCCTCATACCGTCATAATACTGAAAGCCACTGAGAATATGGATGGACACATCATCCCCTTCTTCCACCAGAGGTTATCCATAATTGTGATCAATTCTGTCTCTGTCCTGTATCCCAGCATGCAACCTGAGTGGAAGGGGTCCAGATAATTTGTTTCCTGTGGGTTTCTATGAACTTGTAGCACAACTACCCTGTAAATAGGAGAGAGGATGAAAGTTATCCAATATAGTCTAGCAATGGTATTTTGAGGAGAGGACTACCTTATTTTTCAGTGTTTGTGGGACCAGCTCTCAAGGCTACCGCCTGGATCCAACTACATATCAATAATCCCACATGATTTCTAGAGCCCAACTTGACGGGTAGGATCTCCCATTTGGGGATGCAGCGGAGACAGTGCCTCTGAAAGCTGCCAGAGTATTCCAGATAACCATAGCTATTCTATCACCCATTCTAGAATACTTGATTGATATCATACCAATCTGGTGTTCAGTAGCAGCAGCAGCCGAAATCCCAGGCCTCTAAAAATATGCCTGGGAATTGAGGTAGAATACAGGGCTCCAGAATGCAGAACAGAAAACAAGATCATGTTCCCCAAAAGAACTCTTTATAATGGTGGTAAAATAGCTACAGTAGTAGCCAAAATTGTGGAAACCTTTTGGGAAAAGTATACAGTAGAAATGCCACCTTTGGTTAAGTTTCCACCAATTTTTCTTCTAATTTCTTTATAACTGTAGCCTTGTTCACTTAATAATACTATTTTACATCGCTTTCTGGGAAACCAGTCAACTCTTTGCACCATTACTTTAATTTTATTACGTTTTACAAGCTCACTAAATGAAAAAAAAAAAACAACCAACTTGATAGCGATCACATAACACAGGCATGTCAAACTCACGTGACATCACACGACGTATCGGAGCTTTTTCTCCATTGCCGGCAATAGGGTGGGTGCGGTTTTGGGATGACATGTCTGGCCCATGGGCCGGCAGTTTGACACCCCTGACATAACACACTGACAAATGTCCTCCTCTCAGCTTCAATACATGACATCAACAACTGAATCCTACTGTGATCTGATTGGCTCATTGCCAAAACAAGATGATACCTGATTGGCTCTCTAACCACTCAATCAGATGAAGGAAAGCTACCTGATATCAACCTAAGCAAGTTGTGCTTCCTTTTTCTGGTTATTTGGCTATAACTTTTCATAGAATACAGTACAGATAATTGAACAAATTTTGTTGCATTACATTCTTGATTATCTTTCCATTGATATATAATTTTATGGTACTACTCCAAAAAAAAGTGGTGTTATTAGCCATCAAATCTCAAAAATACACTTTTCTCAAAGGTTTCCCACAATTTTGGCCACTACTGTATAGCTCTAAATCAGTGGTTCTCAACCTGTGGGTTGGGACCCAATTTGGGGTCGAACGACCATTTCATGGGGGTCGCCAAACAATGCAGTCTGCCATTTTTTTCCCCTTTTCCTTAGCTGTGCTACTCCCTTTTATTCTATTGGCTTTTGAAAGCCAATAGAATAGACTCTCTTGAATAGAGTCTAATTCTATTGGCTTTCAAAAGCCAATAGGAATTGTCCAGGCTGTCTCTGCCCTGCTGAGTCCGCCAAAAGTCCCATTCTGCAAATGGTGCTGTACCAGTTGAGTAGTCCTCGACTTATGACCCGTTGAGTAGTCCTCGACTTACGACCGGCTGGGGGGGGGTCGCGGCATTAAAAAGGTTGAGAACCACTGCTCTAAATGGAGATTGCACTGCAGACACAAGCCGAACCAGCAATAGAGGCACCAGCCCACCTCAGCTTCTAGGAGCCCATAGTGGTTAGCTATCAAAGTCTCCAGCTCCCCAAGGTGCCCTATTGCCACTGCTTAAGGATATCCATTACTATCTAATCTTCCATAGCCACCTTCACCTACAAAGGCACATCATGCCTCCTCCAGTGGTATAAACAACTTCTTTGTTGCATTATGCTGCCAGTTGCCAAATAGTTCATTAGTACAATAAAGGCAGAGGCCCAATTCTGCCATTTCCGCTGATACTCTGGGGAATTCAAGCATTATTCCCAATACAGCAGGAGACCAACAACCAAGCATTTTTTGCTTTTGTTCACTTGTTGCTAAAAGTCCCAACATAGGGTAAAGCCTGTCTTGGCTCAACTTGAGGCACCGTTCTCTTTCTGATCTGTCAACATAGGGGAAACCTATTTGGGAGATCCCTCAATCTGTTCCTGCTCACTGCAATCCTTCTTCAATATATTAAAGCCAACAAGCTGAGCTGTTAGTACCTTAACAAGTAACACCAACAGGTTTTTCACCAATTACAAAAAAAGTGCAACACCTTAGTAATCTGCAAATTATGCATAACATAAAGCATTTTCAAATTTGTTTCAGATAACAAAAATTAAAAAATATATTTTTATAACTGGTTTCCACTGAAGATTTTATTTAGTATAAAAGTAAACTTAATATAAAAGATAACTGACTGCATAATATCCAATAAAAAAGTAAGAGATAATAAAAGTTAAAATTATAGTAACCAGCTACTGGAGGCAAACTAGTCATTATATAGACCATCTACACTAAATATATTTTAAATATATTTCAAATAATGTACACTAGCAATCCAACATTTAGGATTACTTTCTTATACCCATAATAATTAACTATTCCTCAATAGTTGCACAAAATGTATGCAACTATCTGCAGCCTACACTTCCTTAATCAATCAACTCTAGATAAGTGTAGAGGTAATATTTTTAAATGCAAATACTTTTATATTCTCAAAAATTTAAAAGACCAAATAAAAGCATTGTCATGTTCCATTTCAATTTTCATTTGGAATCTATTCTACCACTACCATGGTTTCACATCAGCTATATGTTTAGAAGAATCATTTTCTGAATATTTCACAAATACTCTCTGAAGCACCCTCTAGTTTTAAAGTTTACAGTGCTTAATCAGGCCATCATCTATTCACTAAACTTGTTCAGGAAATAGTAACTAAACAGAAAAGCTATATTTCATGCCATAAATGAAGCAATGTAGTATTTTAAATTATAGATTTATTATTTCAAAGGTAAAGTCTACTTTCATAAGATTCATCAATTATTCTTCAAACTGCATACATGTTTCTGTTTCATATCCATGACCACAGGAAAGAAGCAGTTGAGTAGGGGCTAAATGGAAACAAACAAAACCATCAAACCATACAATCAACCTTGCAACCAAAATCAACCTTGCAACTGAATTAGCATTTAAATGCATATAAACCAAACATATTGCTACAATGAAGGTGGAATAAATAAGAACCCACTGTTTTCTTAGTTTAAATTTAGCTATTTAGAGCTCTCTTCTTCCTCTCTTGGTTAATAAACATCTTGCAGATCATCAGCAATGGGTCTTAGAAGATTCAAAACATTCTCTGTGAAGGATTTCTACAGGTTGATTCAACAGACCAGACTGAACCCACTGATCTTTTTATGCAAGATCTCTATAAGATCACCTAAAAATATGTTTGCTAAAAAACAGGAATGTTGTGCAATGAAAAATTATTTTTCCTCAAAGTAATTTTTTTAGCTTATACTGCTTCATACATTTGTGCACGATTGTCAATATGTAACACTGCAAAAACAGCTAAAAATCAGTGATGCCATCTTTAAAAAAGAACATTCTAATCATCAAATTTAATTTTTTTCCCTTGGAATGCTGTAATTTGAGATATTTGCTCTCGCATTTTTCTGCTAGCTTCCCATGATGGATGAAGAGGTTGATGTGGAGGGCTACTCTTAATCGTATATTTCACTGCTGAACTTTTAGGCATCCGTTTCTGTGGGTGATTTTTTTCAAAAGCTGTACAAAAATTAACAAAGAATAAAGTGTAAATAACTCAATCAGTTATTCGCTCAACTTTAGTTGTGTAACAATACCAAAATTTAGAACGATTTTATTCTTAGAAAGATTCAATCTCATTTCCAACAGCCTTTATTGAAGAGAAATTCTCAAAGATCCCCTTTGAATAGAGATTGTCAATGTGATGGAGAAATAATTGAAATAATGAAACATTATTTTATAGTGTCCTCCCTA